GAATCGCGGAGCCGTTGGCACGAACGGGGGGTGAACGCTGGAGCAGTGAATCGAGGGCAGAAACGCGGCGCCTGCGCTTGCGTCGACGTGGGCGCTTCGAGGATGGCGGATGCGCTTGGCCGGCGTCGCAACAAAGATGGGCACTCCAGCGCCGGCAGATGCAGGTCCTGGCGGGAGATTGCAGCGTCAGAAGACACGGCGGCACGACAACAGCGGCGACGAGGGGCACGCAGCGACTGAGCGACCGAACGCGCCGCCGTCGACAGCTGCCTGAGGGCTGGCCGTCGTGAGAGGCACGGGCCACCAGTGAAGCTTGCAAGGTGATTTGTTGGAGGCGCCCAGCACTCTGACGCTGTCAGCCGTTGCGCGCTCTCGACCCGCCTTCCACGCTGCAGTAACTTTCAATGCGCATGGATCATTACGTAGCGTTCCGGAGAGACACCGTCGACCGTGTTTCATGTCACACGAGCACGTGGCGGTGCACTCGTGACAGCCACACCAACAGAGCGAACCACGGCTACCGCATCGCAGTACCCAGGTGAGCACCAGCCGAGGCCGGGGCTGCGGTGCGGTGCGTCAGGGCTGAAGCTATCGTCTACCGTTAGTCAGGAACTGAGCGGAACATGCCATCCATCGGCGCATCCGTACGACCATCCACGTAGCCATTCCAATACCCAGGTAGCCACCTTTCCTCGTATCAACAATTTCAGACTCAGCTCCTTCTGCGATCTCCGCCAAACTTACCCGTCGAGTACACCGCTTCAACGGTGTAGACATATTTCTCTGGTCTCCATGTGTCCTTCTACTAATCCGTGGTGGGGCAGCGGCTTCCTAGGTAGCAAGCAGGGTCACCACATAGAAGAAGAAAATTGAACAGGTCTGTAGACTACATTAGAACAAAAACTTGCAAAGTAGGCGACCTAAAATCAACGTAGGCTCTAGGCTGTTTAGTTTTTTCCTAGGTTGGCGTGGGGTCAGCCTCCTAACGTAGGCCGTAAAGCGCGACATGTACACCCACCAGGAACACCATCATCAAGAGCAGGAACTATTCTCCTGAAAATCTCCAATTCTTGACGTGGGTCAAGATGGCAATTTGCCAGCGTCTAAACTCTGTCATAGGGGTGCCTCGAGCGGGGCATGTTCTTCATTCTCGGCGTCGTGAAGCTTGCCATCCCCTCGCAGGCACCTTCAGAAGCTGGGGGTCGGCGTCCGAGGAGCCCGCACACCATCGCAGCATTTCAAGCACTAGAGCCTCCCCGCGCATCCATGTTCTGGGCCTGGGAAGTGTAGGCACTTTCACAGCTCACACGCTTGCCGAGATACCCACAAGGCCAGTAGTAAACCTGCTGCTACATCGTCCTTCTCTCATGAACGAGTACCTAAGAAACGGGAAGATTCTTCTACTGCAGACGTGCGAGGGCCAACAGATTGCCCGAACGGGTTATGACGTGGAAGTATTGCACGGAAAAGAATGGCACCCGGTGCAAGAGCTGTGCATAGCTGGGAATGCTGAGGTACTACAGCTACCAGGACCCCCAACTGACGAAACTATCAACGATCTTGTCGTATGCGTCAAGTCTACGCAGACTGTGGCAGCCCTCCAACCTCTTCTACCCCGACTCTCGCGCACATCAAATATCACATTCCTGCAGAACGGGGCAGGCATGATAGAAGACGCAAATATGTTCTTGTGGCCTGATCCACAGACGCGACCAAATTACATTACGGGTGTGATCTCGCATGGTATCACTCTGAACGGACCTTTTGATGTCACCCATACAGGACCTGCAGCAACATCGGTAGGGCCCGTCCCGCGAGAAGACGGCGATATATCACAGATACCCTCACCTCTCTTGGAAATTCTTCCTCGCGCACCTCGTCTGAACTGCCAGGCTTACCCATGGCCCACCATACTCCAGATACAACTAGAAAAGCTTGCCTGTAACGCTCTCAGCAACCCTATCTGCGCGCTCGAAGATGCCGTAACAGCATACATTCTAAGCATCCCAGAAACCAACATGAGGCTCATGCAAGAGATCTCGTCTGTCATTCTCGCTTTGCCTGAACTACAGGGCGTAGAGGGAGTAAAGGAAAGGTTTTCAGCGAAAGCCTTGCATGCTACTGTTATGGATATAATCGAGAAGAACAGAGCGACGACCGTTAGCATGGTATGGGATATGAGGCATAGAAGAGAGACGGAAATCAGATACATCAATGGATACTGGGCAAGGCGAGGACGAGAAGTGGGTGTGAGAACGCCGCTAAACGACGAGTTGGTAGAGAGGGTACAGGCGATGACGAAAGACAGACTGCAAGAGACAAAGTCGTGATATGAACATTCGATTGCATGCTTAGAAAAGCTTTGATATTGACCAGTTTTCGCGTTTGCTGCCACGCAGGTGATGATGCATAGTTACTAAGAACATGTTGGCAGAGTGGTTCCGCTACCATGGAATTCCCACGAAGCTAAGGATGCGCCCCACTTCCAGATGTCTCGACTTCTTCACCCATATCTATCGCGTGTTTGATGCGAGACAGGTCCATTGTGGATTGGTGTTGTTGCGAAGAATTTCGTCGTCAAGGAGACTTCGAGCTGCGAGTGCACGCATCCGGTAGCAATACTATGCCGCAGACTTGGTAGCTCACGCCACCTGGGCTGACAAACGGCGTGGTATGCTGCGCGTCGCGTTACTATGGTGCAGCATCCCACATGCACCCGATGCACTCGCACGAGACAGGCCCAACAATGGCGCTGGCCGGTAAAGACCGGACATGACCTCATTGCTGTAAACTTCGCGGACCCTTAAAGGTAGCTGCGCCCAACAGCCTGCCACCACCCCATCAAACGAACTACTTTCTTAGCATCCAAAGCTTCATCTCTCTGACAGCTTGGCAACATGGCGCAAGATCTACGATCGCAGGATATCAAAAACCCAATTGACGTCGCAGAGGTAAGTCATGGGCTGTACACGCGTGTGAAAGCGCGCTAGCTGCTGACACGATCCCAGTACCTCTTCCGAAGACTACAACAGGTCGGCGTTGAGTCCGTCCATGGCGTTCCAGGAGACTACAACCTCGTCGCACTCGACTACATCCCCAAAGTCGGCCTGAAATGGGTCGGCAACTGCAATGAGCTGAATGCTGGTACGTGGAGCTTGTTCTTGCGTTCGGGCTATCAGCGGCTCGCTTGCGGGAGCGACCGAAGTCGATCCGTCTGTCTCATGCGATAGGTGCTGACGATCATTACAGGTTACGCCGCAGACGGCTACGCAAGAGTCAAGGGCATTTCTGCATTGGTAACGACCTTCGGCGTGGGTGAATTGTCCGCTGTCAATGCCATCGCCGGAGCCTACTCGGAATACGTCCCAATCGTCCACATCGTCGGCTACCCATCGACTGTGTCTCAGAGAAACGGAGCGCTGTTGCACCACACTCTTGGAAATGGCGACTTTACGGTCTTCTCGCGCATGTCCAAGGAGATCTCGTGTGCTGTCTCGATGCTCAACAGCCAGCACGAAGCGGCCATGCTGATCGACAACGCCATTCGGGAATGCTACCTGAAGTCGAGGCCCGTCTACATCTCCTTGCCTAGCGACATGGTAACGAAGAAGGTCGACGGCGATCGCCTCAATACTCCGCTTGATCTGGAATACCCGCAAAACGACCAAGAAGCCGAAGACTACGTCGTTGACGTGGTACTGAAGTATCTGCACGCGGCAAAGAACCCCGTCATTCTTGTAGATGCATGCGCTATCCGCCACCGAGCACTGAAGGAGACTCACGAGCTCATCAAGAAATCTGGAATACCCACTTTCGTCGCCCCAATGGGAAAGGGTGCGGTAGACGAGACTCTGCCGAACTACGGTGGTGTTTACGCCGGAGACGGTTCAAACGCTGGTGTGCGTGAACGCGTCGAGTCGTCCGACCTCGTGCTCAGCATTGGTGCTATCAAATCCGATTTCAACACTGCAGGCTTCACCATCCGCATGTCACAGCTCACGACTATCGACCTACACAGCTACGGATGCAAAGTACGATACTCGGAATACCCTGGTGTTAGAATGAACGGCGTGCTTTCCAAAGTCACAGCCAAGCTGGGAAAGCTGAACATCGAATCTGGACCCAACCCGAACAACAACATCCCAGACAAGGAGACTTCATCGACAGAACCAACCATCAAACACGCCTGGTTCTGGCCAAAGCTCGGTCAGTGGTTAAAGAAGGATGACGTCCTCATTACCGAGACCGGTACATCCAACTTTGGCATCTGGGAAACCCGCTTCCCGGCTGGCGTCAACGCCATCTCACAAGTTCTCTGGGGTTCCATCGGCTACGCAACCGGTTCCTGCCAAGGCGCTGCCCTCGCCGCGAAGGAGTCAAACATCAAGCGCACTATATTATTCACAGGTGACGGTTCCTTCCAACTCACCGCTCAAGAAGTCTCCACTATGATCCGCAACAAGCTGGCTCCCATCATCTTCGTCATCTGCAACAAGGGCTACACGATCGAACGACTCATCCACGGATGGAAAGATTCCTACAATGACGTCCAGGAATGGAAGTACAAGGACATTCCCCGCGTTTTCGGCGCTGAAGAAGGCAGTGTACTCACATACAGAGTGGAGACGAAGGAGGAGGTTGAGAAGCTGTTCCAAGATGAAGAGTTTAGCAGTGGCGAGACGCAGAAGATGCGGTTTGTTGAGTTGGTCATGCCGTGGGACGATGCCCCGGCGGCTTTGAAGGCAGTTGCTGCTGCGGCGGCTAAGACAAATGCTAGTGCGGAGTAGACAATGGATCGAAGGAACGACAGGTAATTGATGATATATTAGCAAGGCGGAGTTAATAGGGTATGGTATTACGTAGGATTCTCTTCTCTTCACACGAATGATGACAATACGACTCTCCTCAAATAAGTCTGGAGTTCACTGATATTTCATGTTCTATTCGAGAACCTCAATTTTCATCTATCCCCGGATCAGATAGTAGCTATCACGCCTTGGCTACCAATCTGTTAGTCTATTATGTCCAGAGATGGCAAGATTTTAGTGAGGTGGCTTCTTACCAAGCCGGAAGTTGTCTTCATCCACTTTCCTCTTCTCCACCCTCGGCCTTCGCCTTACCCTCCTCTTCTTCCATCTCTTCCTCTTCCTTCTTGCTTTCATCTTCCTCTTCCAATTTGGTATCCGGTTTCGCCGAACTCGCTCCGCTGCTCAAGTACGCGCGGCAAACGCTCTCAAGGTAGCGCGCCATTTCTGGATCAGCGGCGGCCATTTCGCGCATCTTGCGCTCTTGCTCATTGAGCTGTCGAAACATGCCTGGGGGCAGCTTCTTCGCCTTCTCGAACAGCGCTTCAACTTCCGCCTCTTCGGCTTGTGACAGTGGCGCGGGGGTTTCGTTTGCGGGAACCATCGTGGAAAGTATGTAATGGGAGAAGTAATTGAAGGCAGATGATGGGAGGAGTGTTTGGAGCAGAGTGTGTGGGACGTGGTGCTGAAAAGAATTTGAGATGAGCGTTTGTTATGTGTTAACGCTAGTCCATCATCACTCGCGGTGAGCAGGCGCTCCGTACCACAACGCCTCACCGTAAGTCTATCGGAGTCTTGGGTCTGGCGCACGGCGTTACTTGTTTGTATCTGCGATTGCGCGTATCTCGGTATTGGGTTTACAATCTTCATTTGCGTTGACTCCGCCATCAGCCTCAAACCGATGGTAACCAGTCTCAAAGACAACTTGTCAAGTCATCTACCCTCCTTCAAACCTCCATTTGCCTTGATACCCACAGCAACCCTCTCTCGACCTGTCCAACAAACCATGGATCCTCGTACGCCTCATCGAAATGACCCAAAGACGTAAAGAATACCCTTCCACCCTCGAACTCTTGACACCATACCAACGGATGGTCATCTCCGTGTTTACCTCCGTGGAATGTCTTCGGATCACCTCTGAGCAAGATCTGGAGGTTCTTGTTTTCTCTTGGATGAGTGTGAAAGTTATACCATTCGTCCTTCCAGCCCTCACGCCCACCACAGCAGTTCATGATCTGGTGTTTCAGGCCAGACTCTTCAGGAACGATGGTACCGGGCTCAGGATCGGGATGCGTGTCGAAACTTGCTCCGACCAAGTTCGTGTAGTATTCGTTCCCTTGCATAGCTGCAGCTGCGCCGTGGATAGCTACGATACCGCCGCCATTCTTCACCCAGGCCCTCAAAGCTTCTAGTTCGGATGGGGTGAAGATGTCGTCGCCGATGTTTTGCAGGAGGACGATGACTTGATATTGCGCGAGATAAGACGAGGTAAACAACGAGGCGTCTTCACTAGCTGTGACTTTAAAGAGGTTCGTATCGCTGGCTAACTTGTGGAACATGCGGATTCCAGCTGGGATAGAGTCATGACGGTAGCCTGTGGTCTTGCTGAAAACGAGGACGTTGAATGCTGTGGTTTTGGCCATGTTTGCGCACTGTCTGGGCGGTTGTCTACGAGGCTTCGACGTTTCTGCATGACCTGGGAAGTTATACTGTTGTATAGCACTACCGAGGCTGCGAGGGTATGTAGTTCATGGAACATCGACTGGATTAGGCTGATTTACCATCTACCGGCGGCACATGACGTCATGCATATCAGCGCGGATTGGAGATTACAATGAGTAGCTAAATCCAGCTGGCTGCCCAGGTGGCGAAGCCCCTACGTGCCGTGTCGGGATAAAATACGGAGCAGGATCCAAAATCCTGCATGAATTTGGCGGCCATGTTCACTCATTCTCTCAATGATCTGTAGAATGTAGCACAAAGAGCATGTAGTTATGACCTTGTTGGTGAATGCACCCCAGCTGGCGACGTTGTTGGAAGACGCGACATGGTGCTAGCGCACTCACCCTTGTCAACGCGCCATCCCGATTCCGCTTCCCCCACTTTTCCATCACATAGACTCTTCGGTATCACCACCGTTGTCACCAGTTTTGTCTGCCACTCCTCGCAGGACTCGCAGGCAATATATCCCAAACACCGGTAGCTACCCTGCATGTCACTTGGACTATAGCCTTAGAGGAAAGCGGTGGGTTCATCTGAGCAGACAAACACCGCATCCCAGTATCGAAACCTGGACTACTCACATTCCAGCATCTTTCACATCAGCCTGAGTCACACACTTTCACAAGAAGCCGATTTCTAGACATTTTCTGGATCATGAACACTGGAGCAACAGGACCAACCCCACCCGGCGATGTCGTCCCATATCCCCCTCCACCCGAAGCATGCGAGGGCCAAGCACCTTCAATACTCGAACTACCGCCCGGGGATTATTACATCCGAGAATTTCTGAGCCTATTAGAACCCACACATGCTCTGCGAAAACATGGCTACAACTTTGCACAGTTGACAGATGAGGAGATTCATCTGAAACGAAGATGCAGCAAATGCAATCAAAGTTAGTACAAGCTCAGTGCCTGGACTGTGCACATCGATTTTAAGAGTATTGCTAAACTCCTGGTAGCTATCCAACAGCTTAGCAAGGGTCTCCAACAGGCCATAACGCGCCGTAGCCAACAGCTTCTCTCACATCCACCTGACACGCCCTTCAAGACATTGCCAAGTATGATCGTACCATACGAGAACGGTAGCTCTGGAATTCAGTATTGCACAATAGAGTGTCTCCACCACTCAGCGCCAGTCGACCGCGCGACAAAGGTGAGGGCAGGCTGACTCGACGTTGCCTAACCCAACTAATCTTGTTAGTGCTGGTTGTGTTGCGGAAAACACGTCTCGGAGGCCCAGCCATGTAGGACTTCCGACAAGCACAGAATACGCGAATATCGATCAGGTGAGCTCGAACGCCTACATCAATTCCAACCGACTCCACCTTTTCGTCATTGGGATGCGGACCGCAGGATGAACGCCAAATTTGCCGTAGCAATCGACTGCGAGGTATGTTCTAGCTCTACAGAATGTATGTGAGACATGCTGACTTCTCACTCCCATTCTGAAGATGGGAACAGCCAGGAGTGGAGACTCTGAGCTCATTCGCCTGAGCGCCATCGATTACATAACCGGAGAAGTGCTCATTAACAACCTTGTTAAGCCTGATCAACCAATGCAACATCTCAACACAAAGTGGTCGGGCGTTACGTGGGATCAGATGAACGAAGCTATAAGTGAGAAGACCACGCTAAAGGGGAAGGCAAGTCACTACGTGAAGAAGCCGAAGGAAGACATGTACTGACTTTGTACACCAATTTTAGACTGGGGCGAGAAAACTGTTATGGAAATTTGTCGGTCCAGAGACTATCCTCGTTGGACACAGCGTTCATAATGACCTCAAGGCACTGAAGTGGATACACACAAAAGTCGTAGACTCCTACGTCGTAGAGCACAAGATCATTCAGGAGAAGAAGGCAATCGAAGCCAGAGAAAAAGAGCTTAGTGAAGAGGCGGCAAGAAGGGTGGAGGAGTGCCTTCCGGAGGTCACAGGACTAGCGACGAGTAGCATGCTTACCCCAGCGACTGATGCGCAGACAATGATCGACTCGACCAACCCCACTGAGGGTGAGCCCAAGAAGAAGAAGAAAAAGGGTACGGGTGATCTGGCGTTGAAGACACTGCTAAAGAAGTACCTGGACACGGACATTCAGACCAAAGGCAATAAAGGTCATGATAGCTTGGAAGACGCAACTGCGGCGCGGGATCTGGTTCACTGGATGGTGATGCGGAGACTCCAGGATAAGTACGGCGTATTGATGTAGCAGTGGCTGTGTGTTATACTGCATGAACCTAATCCAGAGCCCTGAACTTGCTCGTATCTTTCCAGAGGTGAAAGGGAAATTGCGAGTCTAGGTAGAGTGTGATGAGGAACTGCTGGCCTAACTTTGGTCTCTTGGAGCGGGGTTTGCTGTAGTAGGCTGGAGAGTGTCAGTTCCTTTTCGACGTTATAACGTTCAACCACTACAATAATGTATACATACAACGCACCTCCACTTGTCACTAATGTACCACATCTAGTCTCATGTATGCCTCGAAGTCACCCATGGTCAGCACTTATTAACTTCAGCTTCTCATTGTAGCCTTCAAAACTCCGAAAGGTTGGACTAGAACAGTATACGACTACAACTCAGTCTTCTCAGCATTAACATTCAAGTCCCAATTGATGCCACCATCTTTGCCATAACGCTGCTCCAGCCATTCGTTGCACTTCCTAAAGTGACCGTTGTCAAACTACACATCGTTAGCACTTGAATCATGATATATCGGGAGGCGGTACTTACGAAGCCTCTCGCTGCACTCAGCGGGCTAGGATGTACGCTCTTCAGCACAAGATGCTTGTCAACTGGAATGCCCTTGGTCCTCTGCTGCGCCGGACTGCCCCAGGCCAGGAAGACAACACCATTCGTCCGCACCTTGGCCACGGTATCAATAACCTTCTGCATGAGCAGCTCCCAGCCCTTGCCCGAATGTGAGTTTGCTTCACCGCGACGGACGGTCAAGCAGGTGTTGATGAGCAAAACACCACGATCAGCCCATGGCGTCAGAAGACCACCCTTGTTCGGAGGTCGCTTGTAGTCTGGGTACTCCTTCTCGAGGGCCTTGTAGATGTTCATGAGCGAAGGAGGCGCAGGGTTCGGTGGACGGATGGAGAAGCAGAGACCGTGGGCTTGGTTGGGGCCGTGGTATGGATCTTGGCCTGTGATGACGACCTTGACGGTGTTGAGGGGTGTGTGTCGCGACCTAACCAGTATTAGTCTTCGTTACTCAAGCATGCACCCGGAAGATGTGGGAGATCGTACCAGGAGTACACGTCCTTCATCGGCGGGTATACAGTCTTCCCACTGTCCAGCTCCTTCTTCAGGAACCTCTTCAATTCGAGGAATTGGGGTGTCAGCAGCACATCCTTGACATGCGGCAGCCAGCTCTCGTGTAGCGTGTCGAGCTCAAGTTGTAGCAGCTCTTTCTGCTCGTCTGTGAGTTTGGCAACCCATGCATCTCTATCGAACTTTGCGGCTGCAGCAGATTGTTTGGGCGGCGCATTGGGGTTGGGTTTCGGGGCGCCAAAGAAGGCGGTAATGCTACCGTTCTGCTTGGGCTTCTTTGACGCGTCCGTGGCCGCTGCCGCTGCTTTACGCTTCAGGCTCATGGTGGCACTGTCAACTGATGTAGAATATGGGGTGAGAGGGGAAGCGTGGAGTAACGAAGATAATACTATGGAGACTATGACGAGTCGTAAGAGTATCGTGACGATTGCAAGCATCTCCCAGCCCCAGAGATTCGCGTCGGGGACGTGACGTCGGACACGGCCTGTCATTTCCCCCCGAGCACGTTGATTGGCCGCCACGCGGCACAGCAACACGTGAGTACGCGCGACGCGTCCAAATCACGTGACATGACATCACCCGCTGCCCTGACACAGTCCGCAACATGGCACAAGGATGCAAGCAGGCTGCAGTGGCTTCCCCCTCAAGATGACCGTTTTTTCCGGCAAATCAGACATGAGCGGACGTTTGATCGACACTAACATGCCTCGAGGTGGAGACTGAAGCCTGATGCAGGCTCACCTGCAGGCGTGCTGCCCGCATTTGTGACGTGTTGCCTAGGGGAAGCAAACAGGAGCGCGTACAGGTGGGGGGATATAAACAGACCTACTTCGTCTTTGCTTCTTTTCTCATCCTACAACCAATCTGACCCATCTTCTCAAACTACAACACTCAATCAGAGCTCTATCAAACACAATCATCAACGATGGCTTCTTCCAACCCTTCCAACTTCGCCAACCTGCCCAAGGACAAGCTCAGTGAGATTGCCGCCAAGGGTGGCCATGCCTCGCACGGCTCTGGCAACAGCGAAGTAAGTTGTACCGGATACCCTCACTCTAATGTGCAGTGACTGACCTTTTGTGAAGTCCACATCCACCGGCAACAGCGGCAATGCTGACCGTAACCCTGACGGTACCTTTACCAAGGGCTCAGACCTCGCAAAGGAGCTAGGCGCTCAAGGTGGTCATGCTTCCCACGGTGCTACAGACTCCACGTCCAACAGCAGCGAGCCAGGCCGTAACCCAGATGGCACCTTCACCAAGGGGTCAGAGGTCGCCAGCAAGCTTGGTGCTGAGGGCGGCCACGCATCCCACGGTTCTTCCAACGACTCTAGTGCTCAGACTTCCAGCAACCAGAGCGGCGTAAGTTGTCCTGAAGTACGGTCGATGAGTTCGTAGCTAACATATTCCACGCAGCGCAACCCTGACGGCACTTTCAAAAAAGGCAGTGAACTCGCTTCCGAGCTAGGCACACAGGGCGGACATGCCTCCCACTAGAAGCAACACGTAGATGTGCCTACCGATCCTTCAGTCCGACCTTCATGATATGTCCATGAAAGACGGCCCAGCGTGGAGGAAGATACCTGGACATTAGGGTACTATCATGCAGGGTCATAGCCTAATCACGAGATCATGAATGAATGCAGAGAACAATACATGACTCAGTTTTTCATCTCCTAACGTACTACATGTTGTGATGCTTAGGCCTCGAGGGACTCACATGCATCTACAGTGTTTTCTAACCGCTATAGCCCAAGGCGTCTAGTTCCTTCTTGATCTGCTTCTCGGTGCTGATCTTCTTGACCTGGGTGTCCTCTAGTTTCTCTCCGCCGGCTTGACGCATCTTCAGCTCATCGATGGCGCGCATCTTCTTCAGCAAACCCCTGATCTTCTTGTCCTGAGGGTTGCCGCCGTCACCAGGGCTGGTGACGGTGAGGTCAGGGGGAGGACCCTGGCTCTCGGTCTGGATCGGGGGAGGGGCCTGAGCCTGAGCTGGAGCTTGCTGACGCTGCTGCGCAGGGTTCTGGCGCTGGTTACCGTCCGGGCGGGCTTGACGGTTTGGGCTGTTGCCAAAGTTGCGGTGCTGGCTGGCGCTTCGTCCTTGCTGCTCATATCCACTCTTGCTGCGACTGCGCTGGCGACGTTCTGGGCTACGTCCAGCTCCGTTGGGTGCATTGGCACCGTCAGCGCCGAGTCCAGCAGCCTTGTCAGCGGCCTCGCGAGCCTTCTTGGCCTCTCGCTTCTTCTTGTTCTTCAAAGCCGCCTTCGAGAGCTCTCCATCGCCATCTTGAGCGCCGGTAAGACTAACACCGCCGCCGGGAGCAGCGCCCGGTGGAAGGGTCTCAGCAGCTTCTGCTCCTGGTACCTCACGGCGACGCGGCTTGCCAAATCCATTGGCGAAGCCAACGTTCGTGGAAGAGATACCGGTATTGGCATAAGCTGCGCCTCCTTCATCTTCACGCTTAAAGTGTAGCGGTGTAGCGGTTCCGCGCGCTCCGGGGGGACGGTAGGCACCCGCAGGCTTGGACGGTGTCTTCTGGGTGCTGAGGTAGGCGAGCGCAGACGGATGCGGTGCCGGTACGTTGGTCAAGGGGTCGGTCAGAGGGTACATCGAGGTTGGCTGAGGGCGCCAAACGACGTGGTAGAGTTCGGCCATGTCCTCGTTGTACATGAGGCCTCCGCTGACATGGTAGATGCGAACACCGTTGTCAACACGAAGACGCGGGCTAGTAGTAGCCGTAAGGATATGCTGCCCATCCGGACTCCACGCGCAATAGGTCGAGTTGGAGGTCTTGACGTGGCAGACCTTGGCGAAGTTCTTCTCAAGATCGTAGATGTCCATATCTCCAGCTAGATTACCAAAACCGGCGACGATGACGAAGCGACCGTGGGGACTGAAAAGGATAGTGTTGCGTGGGCCTAGGTCGAAACTGTGTTGTGCGACCGCGCGCTGGTTGAAGATGGTAGTCTTTGCGGGCATGTAGCCATAGGTGACACCGAATTCCTTCGAGTTTGGCGACCAGGACACGTCGTGAATAGGACCCTCCTTGTCTAGCTGGATGCGCGAATCGAAGGTGCCGTTGGCGCTGAGAATGTACATGTTGGTCTCGCCGTAGTAGCTCTTGTTCGTCTTGTCGACCTCGGTTTGGGCCAGGACAATCAAGCTGGTACCGAGATCGTTCCACTTCAGCTGGACCTTGTCGCCCTTGAAGAAAGTCTTCTGGGATACCGGCTGACTGAATTGAGGGACCTGGAAGACCTTGACAGCAGCGGGCATACCCTTGCGCTCCGGAACAAAAACGGCAACTGAATGGTTCTTGCCTGGGGCGAGCGCCATGTCGGTCACTCCCTCCACGCGGAGCTTGTTCCAAGGGTTGCGCAAATCGCTCGACTGGAAGAACTGCACCTCGTTTGTTACAACGCGCGCACAGTACTTCTCGTCGGACGTGTACTGCAAGTTCCAGCCACTCTGGTTCTTCTGAACGTATTCGCCGATGACTGCCCGTGATCCGTCATCTTCAGCTTCGTCGGAGAGCGTCTTCCAGACCCGGAGGTTCTTCGCCGCGTTCCCGTCTTCGTCCTTGGATGGGCGCTGCCATGTGATGAGGTATGTGCCGAGCGGGGAGAAGCCGAGCTCGTAAACGTTCGGTGTGGGGAGTGTGGTAATGACGTTGCCGACTGAGGCGTCAATCACCGAAACCTGTTCAGGTGTTGCCCATGCGAAGTACTTGCTATCGGGCGAGTAGCAGCAGCAGCGAAGGTTGCCTTCGGGTCTGTTGTGCGAGTCAGCGTCAGAACTGCACGTGGATGTGCGCGAGGACTTGTGGCGTAGTCTAGACACTTACCGTACGAATCCTGGAAGAGCCTCATACACTGGAGCAGCGTTGAAGATCCCGATGCCCTTGGCGGAGCGGTCTGCGAGTCTTGTTAGCGTGTCTC